AAGCGTAAACAGCGAGTGAACATGAGCCGATTCATATAAATTGTTTCCTAATCTTGTTACTTCTCATTTCCATGCTGGAATAGATATTGGATTACAAATGTGCTGAGTGGAGGGAGGATGGGCTGCACACAAAAAGAGAGAGAGAGAGGGAGAGACAAGTTTCATGTTTGACATTTCACTGAGTGCAGAGTGGGCTGTCATCTGACACTTCTGTCTTATGAAACTCACATATCAAGGAAAGTCATATAGTTTATTGTTTGGAGTGAAACTGGACCCCATAAGTTAGGATCAAATTGCTCTAAATTGGTCCAAGTAGCTCTCTAGTTTTTGTGTTTACTCATTATGTAGCAATTATGCTTTCAGGCGACACTTTACAAGAACAAGGCTACACATGTTTAATGTTTAATGTGTGGTCTAAATTGGATAGTGCAGTTCATTTAAGAGGAGTCTATAATTGATTCAAAAGGTGTAAATGAGAATATTAATTATCTTTGTCAGTCACACATGTGTAGCAGTAAATATGCTTCAAAATATAACCCCCTTCTCCTTTTACTGGCTTTGTATGGCTGTGTGGCTGAGGGGGAGTGTGTTGTGCCCAAGCTGGGGCATGCCCAGAGAGGCAGCCAAGGGTGGCACCGCCCCAACCACCAGGACTTCTGATTGGCCACCCCAACATTTAAAACAAAAATTGGCTATTTGCTCCATCAGATATGGGACTTGAGAGTATTTGAACTGTGTTCTTACAGACTGGCAGTATTTTTGTTGTGCCTTAGGTTGTGACTTTGGGCAAACAGGATTAAAGCTTCTGTGAGGAGTTTATTTTAGACATTTGTAAAGCCCAGTGTGATCAGCTGATAGATGGACATGTCAGCGATCTAATTTAGCTAGCAGCTTCCTGTTGTATGCACACTTTATTCACACCCTCAGCAGAACAATGGCCAGAGGTCTCTATCTGTGACAGCATCTACATTTACAGAGACAAACTGGTCAACTGACTTTTCATTAAGTAACACACTGGAAATGTCATAAAATATGCACAAGTGTCCAGCATTGCCAGCAGAATAACTATACAGCTGTTACAATACAGTCAGGACGGCTTTCATTGAGAATTATCATTATTGTTGGTGTAATAAGTTATATTTAGTGGTACGGCTCTGTTATGAGAGCTTCCTGTCCTTCTATGTTTGTATACGAGAGTGTTCAAGACATGATGCACCAGGTGAGCTTGACTTTGTTACATGCCTGAAGTAGCACCATGCTAAATGAATGGGGGTACCTTGGTGCCCACCGAAGTAGTATTACCACCTTCTCCAGGCCCATGTTTTGACAATGTTGATAGTACTTACTCTACCACATAACCATTATGCATCAGGATACGTCTATAAATAGAGTTTACAGTATAGTCTTTACTTTGCGCTCCAGTTTAGGAAGTAGGCCTGCAAAAATTTGGAACTTGCCACCAAACATAACATATTTAAGCCTGTTGGGGGCACTGTTGTCATTTTCAGGTATTTGTTTTTTAATTCAAATGTGGTGAAACCATGGACTGTATATACTATGGACAACTTGGTTCCGCCTACCGCCAGTATACAGATTTGAAGCCAATATTTAATGTTCGACCTAAATTGTGGGCCAAACCAAACAACTGACAGACATAACCATCCCTGCACAGGCCAGGACTGTAAGAGTTAAACATACAGTACCTACATCAAAGCGGTCTTCACTCCAGGTCAGATGCTGCGTCCAATAAATCAGCTCGGTTTTGCAGGAGGTTGGGAGTGAGATATGGTTTCCTAACACTCCCACGTCAACCTTGACCTATTTGTACCGCGGTAATGTTTGACTCTTTTGTGCCTCTTTTGATGACACTTTACCTGCAGCAGCCCCCGTTTTTTTTTTTTTCTCTCTGAACTGAAACACAAGACAGGGGGGTTATCCGCTTCATGGCTCCTGCATTTGCTGCTCTGCTGGATTTCAAAAGGAAGAGCTATCTTTCCGCTGCAGAAGCACAATGTCCCCAGGTCAGGGCTCTATATCATGTCTAGATATGAAAAGGCTGTCAGTGGGGCAGGGGCCCATGAAATAAACACCTTTTGACCAATGCCACTCTTTGGATCCATCATGATTGCGCAACATTCCCGCCCCCTCTGTCATAACACGTACAGTATTAATTAATGGAATTACAGGACGCAATAAGCTGGACACACACCCTCTTAAGACTGGAGCTAATTTACAAAGTGCTAGGATAAGCTTGTTTTCTGCTTATGCAAGGGGTGAAATGATGCCACTTATATACTACTGTACCATCCATCATGTTTTGGACACTAGAAGGGGGGGGTTGTCTCAGCTGGGAGGAGGCAGAGGTTGTAGCCTATTGGTGCTTTATGGTGTGCATCCATATAAGACTGAAAATCCAGCACAGCCCAGTGAACTAGAGGCAATATATCACCACTCCCACTGCATGCTCCCATTACCATTTGTTTCCTGATACACTAGAGCTGTGGATTAAGCTTCGTGGTATGACTATGTTAATCCTCAGAGTTACATCATCTTGTTTGTGTTGAGACTAATGTGTCCGACTCGATGAAGTGAATCCAATCTTTTGTGCTTCTGCAGACTAAAAACAGCCGCAATGGATTTCACAAATCCAATTAGTAGTTTCTGCCTGGCTTTCACTGATGATTGGAAGAGCTTGTTGTTGCATATTAATGGCACAAAGTAATTAGTGAAGTGAAGACAGTCCATTACAATCATCATTGTTATCATCTAATCAGGGATATTACTCATTGAGGGAAAAGGCTAACTGTTCCTCAAGGGCAAGTATGGATCATTAGTAAGAAAAAGGAAAGATTATTTTGTCCTGACTTTGGTACTTTTAAAAGTTCCTGTGCTTGGGGGCATTTAGTCGAGTTATACTTGAATTTAAGTCTTTTTTTTTAGAAAGATAAACTTTAAATATCCTCCTATCAGTGAGCAACATTAAAGGGTAAAGCAACATTTACCCCTAAAGCATCACCACTCTGATTCAGTCCTTTCCTTACACCTAGTTTGTTGTTATTGATGTAGCCGACTCTGTGGATGTGGAAGCTAGCTGCCTGCTAACATTAGCACTTATGTTAGCACAACACTCACAGATGAGAAATTAATGCTGCATCGTTTAAATTTCTGTTTCTATTTTGATATGAGGCTAACATTTAGCTTAAAAAGGTTTAGCCTTTTTTAATACAATATATTCCAATCAAAAATGTTGCCTTGTGTAAGCTAGCATAAAATTTAGTCCGCTTCTGCTAACAGTCATGCAAACAAGGGCTGTCTTTAACTGATTATAAGCTGCTTTTTTTCTACTGCTAACTCGTAGCATAGTGTGACCATATTATGACTTCCCAAAAAGAGGACACAACTTCGCGGGGGCGGAGTCACGGAGTCGCCCAAAGTTAGTTTTGAGAGTTTTTCGGGTCCGATCGAGTGTCTTTTACGCACTTCTAACTCAGTTGTCCATGTAGATTCTCATTCATCCAAGTCATGGTTATCCTGAAGACTCCAAAAACAGGCAACTGGACTGTGTAGAGTTGAGAACTCCAGTCCACGTACAAAACCGCCGACATTTGAAGGATTTTATGAACTTCCCCAGACAAAGACTGACAAACCTGGACAGCCCCTAAAATGGAGGACATGTCCGGGTCAAAGAGGACATATGGTCACCCCATCATAGCATTCGTTGTTACAGAAACTATTAAAAATGATCAACTACTAAACTCTTATTATTTAAAAGAAGGGCTTTAGACTATGTCCAGGGCCAAAGAGGCTTAAAGAGCAACCGAGAAGATTGTTGAAAATTACATGTTACATTTGTTATTAAATGACATCTTAACAAAAATCCAGAAAGTGTTGCCCAAAAGTCTTCTTACAGCAACAGATTAGTGAGCAGATAGGCAGAAAAAACAATGAACACCGAACAGACCAGCTCGCTCACACAGTCACACCTTCTTCAGTTTGTTTGCAGCTTTTTTTTTTTCACTCCTCCATCCTTTCACAGTGAAATCCCAAAGCTCGTCTCATTGATTTAGGGTTATTACGTTAGTGGCAACTGGTCCGCAGAGTGGAAGAGGTCTTGGATTAACGAGGACAGCGATAAGAGTGCAACAGAAACCTGCGTCTGTATTCAATGGCTGCTGCCACAGGGTGCTGCAGCTTGTGCAGCCCTTTGGGATTTCATTACACAAAGACAAATGGATGATCCAGGCATGGCTGAATTTTGGGGGAGTGGAGAGGGGGCAGGCAATTAGCCTACTCAGTGGTAGCATGCCTCAAGTGGCGTGTAAGTATGAAATGAGGCGACCTAGTGAGAGGCGGTGCACAACAAAAGAAATGGCACATTTGTCCTCTTCTGTGAACTCCAAACTGTGGCACATCATCAGGGGAGAAAAAGTGCATTTTTTATCCAGGGCCACAGAGGACTTTCAGGGCCGAATGCAACAATACCATTTAGCCACAGGTGATTTTAAGCACAGAGTCTGACAGAAATACCCCAGGTGAATCATGACTTTCTGCCGAACATGCAGTTAGAGTTAAGAGAACATTTTATCAGCCAGCCAAATTTACCAGCATGACGCAAATAATCATTTTATATTCTGCTGTCACTTAGAGACTTAACACCTGGAAGTTAGGATTAGGAGAGATGACATGCTGTTTGTGTGCTGAGAAGGAGGTTTAGAGGATGTGGTAATTGCTGCAGCAAAGTCTTACAAAGGCGTTGAAAGGAGAACAGCTCCTATAAGATTCAATTACTGAAGTCAAAACTTTATGGAGACAACTCGAGCTGGCATACCATGGGCACTACAATCACTGATGCTGTTTTTGGACTGTGCGCTGGTAACAAGCAGGATGGTCTCTCTCCATGGTGTCCATGATTTCCTAAACAAATGTCAAATTTTGATTTGTTAGTCTACAGCACGATCTTTCACATTTTTTCGGTCTAGCTTAAAAAGGCTCCAGCTAAAGGAAGTCGCTGTGGATGGATCGTGTAAATACGGTTTCCTGAACACGCTTATGGACATGTGTGTTTACAGACAAAAGTTTGAGGATCACAGCTATCCAGTTTTGGTTTCAGCCTTGTTCCCCTTGTACAAAGATTTCTCTGATTAGTTTAATGATATAATTAGGGCTGAGTCAGAGTCGGAACACCCCCCCAGTTAGTTGGTTTTTAGTCAAACATTTTAGGGTTTTAGTCGACCAAGAATATCTTTGGTTGATTACAGCCCTACATTGAATGCACTGTACATGATAAAATCCCCAAATTCTTTACACTTTTGCTGTCAGAGTCTCTTATAACGACTCTTCTTATAGGATCTCTCTGTAATTCTTTTTATTAAATTAGTAAAATTATGTATCTGTTGCAAATAAGACAAAAAGTTCCTCCAGGTGTTTTTCTAGTAAAACCTTTTTTAGTGTTTTATTGTTCGTTTCAACATCCTGTTGTCAAATTTACAATAAATAACAAAGTTTTCCAGTTTTAACAGTTAATTCTTTGTCTTTGCAGGTTTAAATGATTTGTAAACCATCAAAATCAGTTTTATCAACATTTTAAACACCATTCCAGCTTTTTCAGAATCAGGGTGGTGGTACAAAAACATGGAATATGGTGTCAGTGTTATTGCTTTCGACAAAAGCTGTTAATGAAAAATGTGTCTGTGTCTGTCGAATTACCGTCTCTTGCATGAAGGCTTTAGAAAGAAATAAAAGAATGTCTCCAGGCTTGTAAAATTCACATCCATGACTTGCTGGGTTCTCGCCCATTGTTGTTCCAAATCACATATCACCCACATGTCTGAGAAAACTCTGCCAGGGGTTCGGTTAGCAAACCGTACTGCTCAGGATCCAATGACTGACTTCAAATCCCTTCTTTCCTTCTTTTGTATGAACTGTTCGGCATTAGTTGCTTTCGGCTGTTGATTCTCTTAAGAATCACAATCCTGCCTGTTCTCCGCTCATGTTCTTTGATAACACCTCAGACTGATGTTGAGCATTATGTAAAGAGAGAAAGAGAGAAATCCTGTTGGCTGTGAAGGAGTCATGGTTGGAAACACATCTCACTGTGGTATATTTGAGCTCAGCCTTTGAAGTTATAAGTCTGCTAATGCTTCCTGTTGGACCGGAGCTTCGAGAGCTCATTTTAATTGCTCCCAGAGAAAGAGGTGAGTGGTTAAGGAGTAACAGATTTTATGTAAAGGGGATTACAGTAATCTGAATACAAAATATTGGCAGCTGTGATCTGTTAGGAACTGTTCGAAATTCCTCTCATCCCACCCGTCCTTGTATCCTGTCCCACAGGCTGCTTTGAGTCTGTATCCTTTAGAAAAATAATCAGATTATTTTAGTCAAATTGTTTTTAACACATTATTTAAACAACTTTTTGCTCGGATTGGATGAAAAAAAATCAAAACTAGGACAAAAAAGTAACAAAAAAATTGCCCCAAAAAAGTCACATAAACCCAACAGAAGTTCCTGCAGTTCAGACTTTACAGTCTTAAGAGGACTGAACAGCAGCTGTCATATTTCAGACACGGAGGGAGGGGTGTGGCACACTTTATGGCGATCCTTGAAAAATGTCTTATTAGAACAAAAAGAAAAGAACAGTCTTGAAAAATTCAAAAGTCAAATTATAGCTCAGCACCAGCCCAGAGTCTGTTACAGGCTCATAGTGTGGCATTATGGGAGTGAGTGACTGACGTACATTCATAGTCGTCATCTTGGGTCCTCATTTTTGTTTGAGTGTTTTACATGACGACCAGAAGAAGGGGCTATAAAAAGACGAGTGTCGTACACTTGAAAGGTAGAGAGCCGTAGGTTGAGCTTCCTGATGGGCTATTGACTTGTTTGATGTAAACATGGACAGGGCGCAGGATTAGCCATCCTAAAGGCGACCCAACTCTCAAGGGTTTGATCATAAATACCGAACGGGCTTAATATTTATGATTCAAAGTTGGGGGGGGGGCACAATTACCCTCAGAGATCAGGGGACGAAAAATCACACAGCAGAATAATTTGGCGAGATCATCTTTAGAGCCATCCAATAATCAGGACTTTTGTCAAAAGGAAGAATCAGACCCAAAACTGGCATGATTACCTTGTAATGTGTATCCGACTTGGGTCTCTTGTTAATACGTTTGCCAGTTGTTTTGGTATGTGATGTAATTTGTCCAATAGTATTAAGCTTGAAGGAGGAATATTGCCTCTTAGTTTGAATGAATTCCTACTTAATGCTTGTAAACTGACATGTCTGTAGTCTAATGTGATGGCCAAATCAAGATATTTTTTAATGTGGGTAAAAATTCATTTTGGTGGGTGTTAATAAAAACTTCATTTGTTCCCCTGGCAGTAATTTCTACATTTCCCATAAATACTGTGCCGAAACGCTGCGTAATGAGGTTTAATATGCCGGTATTTCCCGGCGTTCAACCAGCGCGAGAAACAAACAAAGTGAGAGCAGGGAGTTTCGTAAAAACAGCAGAGATTAAGTTTAGCTAGATTAGAACTAAACTAAATGCAGCGATGGTTGAACTTGGGACAGACGAGGAAGAGTGGAGGAGATGAGGATATTGGTGACAGAGCGTGCAAAACGGAAAAAAAGGAAGTATACCATCAAATGGCTGACGGGTCATGAATGGCTTGTGCAGTCAACAGCACTCATAATCTCTTAATTTCATTGGAAAAAATGGTTTGTGGAAATTCTGATTGGCTGGTAACTTTATTTCCCGCGATAAGTGATAAAAAAAAAAAGTTAATTTAGAACCCTGGCGATAACCCTGGCGATAACCCTAGCTCAACGTAACTTTGCATGTAAGCGTACAAACTTTTCTGTGGGCTTATTTTCAGAAGATTGATTAAAAAAATGGTGTTGTCTTTTTTTGTCACTAGTTTGACTTGCATGTGTGCATTTGTAGCTTTGACCCACATTTAACCTAATCAGCAAGCTTGTCTTAATTTTCACATTCAGGCTTTTGCTCAATGGTAAATTCTGTAAATGTTTACAGCAGATAAATGGAATTTGTGATATTTGACAAACAGGCTGGCCATATCCAGGAAAATTAACAAAAAAACACAATGCAGTACATACAAGACAATTATATATGTGCCTTTTTGGTTTCCATTGAATCTGGATATGATCCAAGTCCTAGTACTAGTTGGAGACCTGGTGGTTAGAGACCCCCACTGCAGGCGAATGAATGTCAAATCAAAAACAAGGGTGAAAAATAACTCCAAGTCCGAGTAATTAACGCTTTTGTTTGGCGGTATTAGAATCCTATTCCTCCATCTGCATCAAGTCTACTGTTTATCGAACATTAAAACGAATCAATAATACAATCAAAGCATCTGGAGTGGTCAGAGATCCCAGCATTAGAAGCTTTTATGGAAATACATAGAATGACAAGCAGAAAATCAATAAGTGCACACATGCACTCACCACAGGGGGTCATTAGGAACATCTGAGCCGAATTCCCTCACATACATCAAGCGTGCTGAAACACAATAGACCTTAAATCCTGTTTTTCAATGGCTGACTTGACATGGGGCAGCTTATTGCCATTGTGTTGACACAAATTTGCTTCAACAATAGTGCAAAGGGGAGATCAAATGTGCCCCTTGACTAATCATTCGTTATCCTGCTAGCTTAATGACCTGTGTAACGTGACATTAGGACCATGAACAGTGAGGATGTGGAGTACTCTTAATCGCATTTTCAGCCGGACACGAGAGTGGACATCAAGAGGCTGCAGCTGGAGTAGAGAAAAGGCGTGATAGTCGTCGTATCCGAATAAAAGCTGATACTGCTTTTATCATTTTACTCTTTTTATTAATCAAGATGAAGAAGGTTGTGTTTTATAGAGAGTACAGCATGAGCCACAGTTACAGAAAACAGCCAAACTCCAGGACTCCATCTTTGCATGCAGCATCTGTTGGACTTTAATTGGCAGTTTGGGCATGTCAGCTCACTCCCAAGCTCGATTTGCAATTGTTTGTAGTCTGAACAAATCAATTCATGTTGTGTTTGTTTTGTCAAGACTAACCCAGAAAAAAAAAAAAAGAAAAGAAAAAAAAAAGCGCTGGACCAATTTGAAAGTGCCAGTTAGTCCGGGAATGTTGTTGTTGATTTTCATTTTCCAGGGGGATGCTATCAAAATATTTTGACCAAATCTCTACAGAACAAGCGGCAACTTTGGTGTTGAAAGATAAAGCTGATGGTTCAAAAAGTGCAGTTTTTCAGCTGTCCACAAGGGGATAGAAAGAATGAATGTCCACATTAAGATGCACATTTTTGAAGCAGAGGAAACATATTTATGATAATCATAATGATATATATATATATATATATATATATATATATATATATATATATATATATATATATATTTTTTGTTATAAATTGAGCATTCTGATTGAATTAAGGCTCAGCATTATTTGGCTAAATTAGGAGTGTGAGTCCTCTATGGTGTCTTTATTTATTCACAACTTTTCTAGCTAAAAAGTTTTAGAATAAGTATTTTTAATAACAGACACATATCGTCACCTTCTTAAAACAATGGCCTAGGTCACTTTTGGACAAATGGCTTTTTTTCCCCCTAAGTCAGTCCTTCATGATGCTGCCCATCTCTGGTAGAATTGCCTAAACCTCAGTTGAACAGATCATGTGATACACAACTTTGCATGAGCTGTTGTTGCTGTTTTTTAATGTCCCCTGTCTCTCTCTCTCTCTTTCACCCTTGTTCTCTATTCTCTCTCCCTCCCTCTCCCTTCCTCGTTCTCTCTCTCCTTCCCTCTGTCTTGTTCTCTTTCTCTCCCCCTGCCCTCTCTCCTAGCCCCCTCTCTCTCTCTCCCTCCCTATCTCTCGATATTTCTCCCCCACCAAGCAGCAGCCTGGTGGCTGTCTAGCATGAGTCTGGTCCTTCCCAAGGTTCTGCCTGTTAAAGGGAAGTTTTTCCTTGCCACCTTCACTCACGTTAGATTAGATGGGTCAAATCTGCCCCACCTTAAGTTTGGGTCTTGATAATTCATCAAATAATGAGCGTGGTCTAGACCTGCTCTTTTTCTTTGGAAAGCGTCATGGGATGACGACTGCTGCGAATCGGCACTATATAAATAAAATTTGATTTGATTTGATTGATTGATACTGTCCTTTTAGTATAAAAGATATAAATTATCTCGTCATTTCATGTAAACATCATGCACACAGGTGTTTCTCAACCTCTATTGGGGGGACTTGTCATAAGACCTGGCAACGACCAGCATTTGCCAATGTACAAGAAAGAGACTAGAGAGACACGCTCTACTCCTGGAGAAGATGTGTCCAGTGAATGAGGTGTCTGTGTACAGCACACAGATAGGATGGGAAAGCAGCTGGGTGGACATGAGAAGGACTGGACCCATCCACTGGAGCGAATGAAACATGAAATCCATGCAAAAGTGATCTTCAAGCTTGATTTTTCCATAGTTAGGTGCAATAAAGTTGAAATATCCTGAAATTACTGAAAATCTGAATTTAAAGAAAAGTATGTTTAATGATTGGTGCAGCAGGAAGGGGTTGTACTGTTACTGCGAGGACAAAAATGCACGGTGATAAAGAACAGCATGCTGTCAGGGTTTCATCAAAACTACGATTGTATCTTTACTTTATGCATGACCTCTCTGCTGGGGTTGTGGTTGCATAATGTACACAGACAGCATGACTGGACAGTTGCCTCTTGTTAGTCCCGCTCCAGACATGTTAAGTTCCTTATTGTGCCAGGTTTTAATTAGATAATCAATCTCTTTAAAATTATAGTGGTCAAAGGTTTTGCTGGAGTGCTTTATCAATGTCACTATGCCAGCATCCCCCCTGTCCTCATTTCCTCCCTCCAGTAAGCTGCGAAGTTCAGGGAGTTACAGTGGAGGATTTATCTGTGGGAATCTCTCAGGCTTGTAAAGAAAAAAAACAGTAAAGGCAGAGAGACGGACAGATACAAATGGGCGGCGGGAGCTTTCCAGGTGATTTATCTATCTTTACTGGGAGGTTCACTGGGGGAATACACCTCATCTGATATCTGTAACCTCTGACCCTCCACCAAGCTTTTACAAGTTATCTTGTCAGTAGACTGGAATCGTGCCCTCTACAGCGTAAACTCTGCTGGCAGATGTTTATGTGAGGGGGTCGGCTCCCCCAGACTCCGCTGGCCTGATGGAATTCAGGTGGCAGACGCTAACAACATATGGAAAGCCCATTAGAGGCTGCATTAGAAACGACCTTTTAAGCCCCGAGTCAGCGACATATTTCTTCATTCTGGACATTACCTGCAGAGGCATTAGGCTCGCTTTGAGTCTGAATGGATTAGGATGTCTATTGATGTCTGAATTTGGGGGAGACTCAGATGAGTGGCGTGTCCTGTGTTGTTGAAAGGCAAAAAAGAAGCATGCTGGAGGATAAATCATGTCAGAGGAGCGTTTTGAAGTCATCAGTACTGCTCTGTGGAGTAAGGGCTGTAAACATGTTAAAAACCCACTCCGGTCGTTTTGGTTTTTTTACTACTTGAAGTCTTCTCAGTGATCTTTAAATTGTGATTATGACGTTTTTTAGCCAAAATCACATTACCTGTGTCATTTTTAAGGGCTTTTCTTGTAAAGAGCTCCAGTAGCTCATTAGCAATTCACCTCTGAGTCGTGGGCGGAGACAGAGCTGCTCCTCTTCACGCTAGCGTGTAGCCTAACATCGTAGCCGAAGTAGCAGGTAACATAGGAGCTATTCAACTCTCAGACACTAATGTCTTTGGGGACATGATGAAAGCTTACATCATAATTAGCTTTCTTACGAGAACTGCAGTCCACTAACGCACACGCTTGTTCCGTGATCGTCCTCTCTAGTTCTCCCCTATATGCAGAGTGTGACCTGCATAGCGGGTCTCCTGGGGCAGAGCTTGGATTTGCTACGTAGGAAATCTCACTGTGTCTGAACCTGCTGTTTGGATCTGCCTGAGATCCAAAGCGATTTAAAAGCAATTTCGCACTTAGTTCGCTCATGATATGTCCTGTAGCATCAGAAAAATGCCATATGAACATGTAGACAACAAGAAAAACATGATTTTCATTGTAGTGGGTCTTTAATACTTCAACTAGCAGTATGTGCATGTACAAGACTTAAAGGCAGGGATTTTGGACTGTAGATGATAAAATTCCCCACATTCTTTACAGTTTTTTTTTTTACACTGACAACAGAAGTCTGAAATTTTTGAAGTATTTGCTTAAGTGGTAAAGCTCTTTTCACCTTAACTTCTTAGAGACTCAGACCCTCTGCAGCGCCCTTTTCATACCCAGATGAGTTTGTTACCTGTTGCAAATTACCCTGATTATTTGGAAGATGTTTCTCCAGGTTTTTGTTTCCAATATTCATCCTGACGTCATGTTTACTCATGTCGGCCATATAAAGGCATCAATATCATTTCAATCTTCTTTGTAATCAATCAAAAACATTTTAATGTAATCAATTAAGTTCATCCTAGTAACGAAGAACTTACTTTTAAAAACTTATAATGTGAAATAAACATTTCAGTTCAGCTGCAGTTTTCTGTCAAAAGACTGAAATCTGGTTTTTACTATTTCCTCCACACTTTAAAGAGCAGCAGTCACTTTTTTTTTAAGCACAAATCACATCACTGCTGCCTCTGCTTTCATTTTTTGGACTTATAGCCAGACTCATTTGCATCTGCAGGCCAAACATAAATGTCAAACTGCACTCTCTGCCTCATTAATAATAAAACAGAACATCTAGATCCCAAAGCTTTGGGTGGCATTTTTGGCAATTAACGGGCCGACTGTTGTAATTTCAAATACTGCCCTTAGGGGTCCAATATGCATATGATAAATATTTAAATGAAACTGCAGTCAACAATCAGCCAGCGAGAGCCAGATTTAGGCGGCGGCTCTTTAGACTGTGTCAGTCACTGTAAATCTTTAATTGAGAACGTCCCCACCCTGTAGCTAAGAAAGCTTCACAAATGTGTATTCTCGTGTCGTCTCCTCAGCTTATTTACTGCAGATCAGGACATATGGGTTATTTTAATCTATTACAGCTCCTGTTTTATTTGGAAATGTAACTGCATTTAATTTCATTTTATCTAATGATTATTTATCAAGGCAGGCTGTTTCATGCAGGATCAGCTTTACAGATTTCCCCACCTTAACTGTGCAATTAAAACAGAAGCCTTTCTAAACACCACTCGAGCTGCAAGAGGGTGATTTGCATTGTTGAGTGGGCCCTCGAGGAAAGCTCGTCAGTTTTAGGGTGAACAGATCATCCCATCCACGTGACCAACCATAAATTGTGCTCCAAAACTCCATCAGTATTTGGTTTTATTCACTCTGTGTGTTTAAACTGTGAGAGGCTTTTCACAGATTTATCCAAAAACTGTATAAAAAACTTGTTTTCATGATCAACGTAAGTGAAAAATGAGGTTGGATGGACACATGAAGAATCAGTGAAATCACAGGAGTCAATACGATCTTGTTCTTTTATACAGACGCAGGTTTTTTATTTATCTTGCTGACATGCTTGCTGCTTGCCTAACCTGCTGACATCTTCATAAGTCAGATAATGTATGAGGCAGCAGATTCTGTCAGGTTCAGATGACCTGCAATGGAATTCTTAACAAACAAAAATCAACTTTTTTTGTTTCATGGCATTCTTAAATTAAGAGGTTGTACATATGTCTTACTCCCAGAATGAGATGAATGATCTTGTTGCTCCACTGGATTTTATTATAAAACATTTTTCTTCTCTATTTCTGGTTCATTGTATCTCAAAATTAGCTGGAATATATTTTCAAGAAAAAGTTCGCCATTTTCTCTCAAAATTAGAAACTTTCCTAATGCCAAACATGCTTGACAAGATTAATATTCTTTTTATACAAAAAAAAAACTTATTTCCTTAATCCAAGGCTGTTTTCCTTTTCTTGAAACTCCTTTTTGCAGTGTAGAGAATCACATACTGTATGCATCACACACACAGCAATAGAGCCTCTGCATTCAGTTAGTAACACAAATATCTTCATTATGCATAAACCATCAGATCATTTATTCTTTATCTAACATCATATCAAATGGGCTTACTGTATTTTGGCGTCTCCTAGTAGATAACACAAAACAAAATACAGAGAATGCTAACTCTTAAATCATCCTTTTATTAGTACCTGATGGGTCCTGAGTTTATCAGGGACTTGGAGAAACTTTGATTCCATCGACAAGCTAATAAATGAAACAAACTGTTTTGAGTGTGGGAGCTTTTTGCGCTGAAGTAC